ACTTTGTTGCCCAGGAAAGGATGGAACCTGTGAGCTCAGGGTCTCAGGTCTCTTTTGCTCCTCAGGATATAGGGCTCTGTGGGGCTCAGCTGATGGATGTTAGAGCCGGACTTCAGGAGAAATAGAGCAAGGGACTTGAATCTAGTAGGTGTGACCAGATGAGCAGATCTGGAGACTCAGAACCTCACAGGCAGGGTTAAACAGGAGCTGTCTGGGGACTGGGACTGGGCTTGGCTAAACAGGTCTAAATAGAACTAGCCAAAATCAGGCTGGCTAGGTGTGGCAGGAAGTGGGCCTAGATGGAACTGGTAGGCCAGATAGTCAGAGGCCTGGTCAGCAAGCATGGGTCAAGGCAAGAATCAGATGAGGCAGTTCCTGGGGTTGGGGCAAGGACTGGGGCTGGGCCTTCAGCTCAGAAGGTCAGGGATAGGGCAAGCTTCAGGAATGGGGTGAGGCTCAGAGTTGGGGTAAGGGTCAGAATGTTCAGTGTGAAATGGTTTTTGGCAATCTGAAGCAATATTTTTACATTTTGAAGGGGTGGCTGTTAAAATGTACTGCTTTTTACTGAAGTTAGCAGACTTCCAGGCCTCTGGTTCTAAGGACATCTCACAGGGAGCATGGGGTGAAGTTGAAGAAGAGCATGTGCCCTCCCAGCACCCTAATGTGCTCTTGTTATATGTATCTGTTGTGTGACTCCTGCATGTCACTCTCGTGTTCAAATACGATGGTTTGATATTTCACAGCAAAAATAATTGAAGCCATCCAGATAGACGTTAGAATGTGAACTACTAAATGCGTAAGAAGTACTAAGACCTCCCTTTTCTTTCTGTCAGGAGAGAGAGTTGTGGATCAGAATGTGGAGCTTGCACCCGTGGTCTGGGAGGGACTGAGTGACCTGTTAGAGCTAGTGCAGGCTCAGGAACTCAGTTATTCCTTAGTGCAGTCATATTAGTGTGATCATTTTTGCAAGGAATATGGTAAAAATGTTAACATTAGGAGCAATATAGGCTTTCTTTCTTTCTTTTTGTTTTTTTGAGACAGAGTCTTGATCTGTCGCCCACATTGGAGTTCAACAGCACCATCTTGGCTCATTGCAATCTCTGCCTCCTGGGTTCAAACAGTTCTCCTGCCTCAGCCTCCCGAGTAGCTAGGATTATAGGCACCCACCACCAAACCCAGCTAATTTTTTTTTTATTTTTAGTAGACATGGGGTTTCACCATGTTGGCCAAGCTGGTCTCGAACTCCTGACCTCAGGTGATCCATTTGCTTGGCCTCCCAAAGTTCTAGGATTATAGGCGTGAGCCACTGCACCTGGCCTATGCTTTCTTAATATGAAACTAGATTGTCTTGACTTGATAGAAAAATTAATCCTTGTTATGGTGAGGTGTACTTGCTTCTTTGGTAATCTGTGAGGAAACTGGATTCATGGAATCAGAGATAGTTCCTTGCCACTTTGGACCTGATAAAATTTGGAAAGAAGAAAGATTGTTATTATTTGGCTAAAATCTGAAGCTTAACATGGGTTGAGAGAAAGGAAGCATCCACGAGAAATTCTTTTCTTCTTAAAACCTAGATCTAAAAGGGCTGTTACTTATGTGATACAAGGGAATGAGTTATTATTATTATTTATTATTATTTTTTTTTTGAGAGGGAGTCTTGCTCTGTCGCCCAGGCTGGAGTGCAGTGGCACGATCTTGGCTCACTGCAACCTCCACCTCCTCGGTTCAAGCGATTCTCCTGCTTCAGCCTCCTGAGCAGCTGGGATTACAGGCACCTGCCATCACGCCCAGATAATTTTTGTATTTTTAGTAGAGATGGGGTTTCACCATGTTGGTCAGGCTAGTCTTAAATGATCCACCCACCTCGGCCTCCCAAAAGTGCTGGCATTACAGGCAGGAGCCACCACGCCTGGCCTGGGAATTAGTTATTTAAATAAATCAGCAACTTCTAGTCCTTTTACTCTACAATTCTCTGTAATAGTTCCCTGGTGTGACAGGAAATAAAATAGTGTAGATCCACTAAAGCAGTGAGAGTGATTTTTTTTTTTCTCCCTGAGGAAGCCTGGAGAGGCAAGAGGATGGTGGCAGGGGCTGAGATACGATGGCCGTGGTTAGGGAGGGGATGTACCTCTCCCCATCACCTTGGGTTTGCTAGGAGGGGCCAACTTTTGATCTACTGAGCTGCAAGTGGCTCTCCTAGCAAGAGAGAACATAAGGCTGATTTATCTGAATTCTCATTCCCTTCTGTCCATAGGAGAGTCAAGAACTCCCAGTAGGAAGGAAAGGAAGGGTCTTATTATCACTCAGGGAAGCAGAAGGACCATGGCCTGGGCCTGGTATTCATGAAGGGCCTTTGCTATTATTGCCATATAAGATCACACTGTCATTGTATTTATTGGTTGAACTCAAAGTTTTGGTTGGTTAAAAACAAACATTTAAATCATATCACTGTTATATTGACTCATTTCTGGCATTTCTTCATTTTAAAATATACCCAGAGGCTGAAAACTAGAAGTCTAGTCCTCTTGATACATGGCAGGCGAGCCCCAGATTGGGGTTTAGCTTGGGAGGATTCTTTGCTTCTCCCAGGAAGACACTCAAGGGTGAGCCTGTAATAGAAGAGAACAGCTTTATTGAAGTGGCAGTGTTACAGCCTAGGCGGTGTTGCAACTCCGTGACTGCTTCTGCAGAGCAGGGCTTCTCCATTGGCAGTGTGCTGAGACTAACAGCTCAGGGCAGTTCTGCAGTCATGTTTACACTTACTTTTAACTGCATGCAGATTAAGGGGTGATTTATGCAGAAATTTCTAGAGAAACGGTAGAAACCTCTGGGTCATCAGGTCATTGCCATGGGAAGGAGCAGTAAATCCCGAGTGTTGCCATGTTAGTGGTAAACTGACAAGGCACACGGGTGGGCGTGTCTTAAGGAAAGCTGCTTCCACCCGTCCCTATTTTAGCCCTTCTCAATTTGGTTCAGTGTTTGAGCCCCCACTCTGAAGTCAAGTCCTGCCTCCTACCTCCATCCCTCTGAGTAGCCCTGCTTGCTGCACCCAGGTGATAGGTAGAAAGTGAAATCAGCTACGACAGTTGCAGAAAGTTACTCATGGTTCTGTATGCTTTGAAACAGTGTGAAAATGACATTCTCCCCTTCTTTTCTTTCTTTCTTTCTTTCTTTCTTTCTTTCTTTCTTTCTTTCTTTCTTTCTTTCTTTCTTTCTTTCTTTCTTTTTTTTGAGATGGAGTTTTGCTCTTGTTGCCCAGGCTGGAGTGCAGTGGTACAATCTCGGCTCACTGCAACCTCCGCCTCCCAGGTTCAAGCGATTCTCCTGCCTCAGCCTCCTGAGAAGCTGGGATTACAAGCATGCGCCACCACACCTGGCTAATTTTGTATTTTTAGTGGAGATGGGACTTCTCCATGTTGGTCCGGCAGGTCTCGAACTCCCAACCTCAGGTGATCTCTCTGCCTTGGCCTCCCAAAGTGCTGGGATTGATTACAGGTGTGGGCCACCACGCCTAGCCTGACCACTTTTATAGATTTCACATGTAAGTGAGATCATGTAATATTTTTCTTTCTATGTCTGGCTCATTTTACATAGCATAATGTCCTCCAGGTTCTGCCATGTTGTGGCAAATGACAGGATCTCCTTTTTAAAAGGCTGTATAGTACTCTATTGTGTTTATTATTATTATTATTATTTATTTATTTATTTTTTTTTTGAGACGGAGTCTAGCTCTGTTGCCCAGGCTGGAGTGCAATGGCCGGATCTCAGCTCACTGCAAGCCCCGCCTCCCGGGTTCACGCCATTCTCCTGCCTCAGCCTCCCGAGTAGCTGGGAGTACAGGCGCCCGCCACCTCGCCCGGCTAATTTTTTTTTGTATTTTAGTAGAGACGGGGTTTCACCGTGTTAGCCAGGATGGTCTCGATCTCCTGAACTCGTGATCTGCCCGTCTCGGCCTCCCAAAGTTCTGGGATTACAAGCTTGAGCCACCGCGCCCGGCCTGTGTTTATTATTATTATTACTTTTTAATCTTTGTTTTTTTGAGACAGGGTCTTGCTCTGTTGCCCAGGCTGGAGTGCAGTGGTACAATTGAGGCAGGAGAATAGAGTCTGGAGGCAGGGAACATAAGGCCAATTCATGCTGACTTCCTTGAACTAAATCAGATGGAAACACTTCAGCTATGTTAGGAAATATCCTCTCCATTTACATAGGGTGTACGCTGAGTAAATGACTTTGTAACTTTACTTCATTCTCTTCATTTTACATAGAGCATACCTCAAGTAACCAGTGGAAACCTCTAGAGGGCATTTAAACCCCAGAAAATTCTGTAATGGGGCTCTTGAATCCCTATGCTCAGGCCTGCTCCCACCCTGTGGAGTGTACTTTCATTTTCAATAAATCTCTGCTTTTGTTGCTTCATTTTTTCCTTGCCTTGTTTGTGCATTTTGTCCAATTCTTTGTTCAAGATGTCAAGAATCTGGACTCTCTCCATTGGTAACACAATCATGGCTCACTGCAGCCTCGACCTTCCAGGCTCAAGTGATCTTCCCACTTCAACCTCCCAAGCAGCTGAGACCACAGGCACATGCCATCACGCCTGGCTAATTTTTTATTTTTATTTTTATAGGGACGGGGTTTCACCATGTTTCTCAGGCTGGTTTTGAACTCTAGGCTCAAGCAATCCATCCACCTGCCTTGGCCTCCCAAAGTGTTGGGATTACAGGTGTGAGCCACTGTGCCTGGCCACCATAGTTTCTTTATCCATGCTTTTTTTTTTTTTTTTTCTCAAGTCAGTAACTTTTTAATAAAATAAGCAGAATCCCATCATGACAGTTCTTTGTTACATGAATTCAAATACACAGCAGACCAATCATGTTCCCTGAAATTTAACAATCATACTTAAAGGCCTGTTAGTGCTGTCTCTCAAGACTCTAATTCTAAAGGGCTTCCTTTGAATTCCCTTTATAAAGCTTTGTGCAAAGAGCTTAAGCACCAGTAAGAAAGACTGTTGCTAGCATTTTTATTTCATCGTCAACAACAAACATGCAGTTTCTTTCTCTGATGTGCATGGCACTGTAAAATGGGTGCTACACTCTGTCTTGTGGTACAAAGTTTATAAATACAATATACCGATACAAAGTTGAAGCCATTAAAAAGAGCTTAATAACAACCACGAGGAGACAATTACATCTGGAGTGCTGATGGAATCTATGAAGAGATTTAGAAACAAGACATAAACTCAAACACTATGGTAAAAGTTTTACTTGGGAGGGGGCCAGAGGGGAACTTTTTATGTGCTACTGAAAGATTTTTAAAGTTGCTCCAAATTTACTTTCTTTCTGCTATTATCTTTAAATACTGCAAAGTATTGTGAGCTGCATCACTTTATGCATTGCCGCAGGAGATACCGGAGCCATGACAGACCGTGATGGGGTTGGTGGACAGTTCAGCAAGACATTGATACTGTCCATTGGCGCTCAGTTTATCTATATCCAAATATGTTATATTAAAACCTTGTTCCTTGGCAATTTCACTAAGCGGCTGGATGTAATCTGTATTTGGAATACTAAGGAGGCTTCTTTTCAGTAAGTTGATCTTTTCACCAGGAGAATTCCTCATGGAATGCCAAGTACATCCTAAAGAATGTCCCACTACATTTGTTAAAGAAATGTGGTTCTCTGGAGAAATATTACTAAATTTGGCAAGAAATTTCTCAGCAGCATTCCTTTTGGCTTGCTTTTTTGATGCCCCCTTTCCAGTTTCCATAAATGCCTCTAGCCTGCAAACTGTGGTATATTCTCTCTTATGAGCAGGTCCTCCCTCCTGGGAAAGGGTATATTCAGGACGTCTCCAGCCATGATGAAAAGCCAATTCCTGTAAAGAACCAACAGGATTGAGCTGGTTCTTTGGTTGCTTGGAAGGGTCAGACATTAAGGGGTCAGGAACTGCAAAGCAAATACTTGCATTGTCTTTCCAAATGTTTATGGCAGCCTCTGCAGCTCTATGTTTCACCAGCTTCTTACCTGTACCTTCACCTCTGCAGGTTATGTCACCAACGGTTACTCTGAAGGTGAAAGTGGGCACGTGTATTTGCACATCAGATCTTTCACATTCATAAACCGGGATGTTCTTGGTCTTCATGCCCTATTCGTGTAATACCTGAATCGGTGTTTTCCCTGGCATAGCTGTTATCATCTTCCCCAAACTGAAGGTCCCACTGTCCTTGCGCTCCAGCGGCAGAGCCTCGGCGGGTACCTGCTCTGGGACATGGCGAGAAGGGACTGCTCAGCGGCTGGAGGAAGAGCGGTGCGGAGCAATGTGCTTGGTCCCCGGGTAGCTGGTCCGCAGGAGGAGCTCCAGCACTGCCGCCTCCTCCGACTCCCCCTCTCCATTCGTTTGTTGATGGACTTGTACCTTGTTTCCATATCTTGGCTATTGTGCATGATGCTGCAGTGAATGTGGGAGTGCAGATATCTTTATGTGGTAGTGATTTCATTTCATTTGGATATATACCCAGGAGACAGATTGCTAGGTCTTATGGTAGTTCTATTTTTTTTCTTAAAAAAATTTTTTTTTTCCTGACTACAAAGACCCAGAGATCTTTCCAGTTCTCTGTTGATCCTGAGACTAACAACTGGAGACTGAGGCCGGAGCAGCTGGCAGCTGTGCTTGTCCGTTTCCTGTCAGAGTGATCCCAAGTTTCCTCCGGACCCGTCCCACGGTGCCTCCACAGGAGCGTGAGAGGATGGGGGAGCACTGCGGGGAGACCACCAAAGATGGCTGGACAGTGGGAGAGAGCACGTCATGAAGCATCCCAGCCTCGTGTTGAGGTTCCAAACTTAGAAACAAACCCCTCTGTACAGGGGGATTGTGGTGAGTGACAGTCAAGGCCATGGTGGGTGTTTTCTCACTCTCGAATGCAAGTGGAAGACAGAAAATGACTCAGGACGCCATTGTAATGGTTCCTGGAAGCTGGACCCTCTCATTGGCATATACACTGCTCCTCGCCACAGGGCACAGTCCCACCGGGATCCACTTCCAAAGTTTGTCTGGACGGTTGAAGGCCTCGCTTAGTTGTACTGGATTCTCAGGGAGCCCTCTGTGGCCTTTGGCTTTGAGTGCTGTGTTTCCCTTTTACCGGAGGGCAGCATTGTGGAAATTCCTGTTTTCCCTGTACCATATTCTGTTGGATTGCATTACTGGCTGAGAAAGGACAAGTTGCCATTCAAGTCTAGGGTAGGCTTCCAGCTGCCTTAATAGAAGTACTCAAGTCTTTTGGGTGGTGAGCTGGAAAGCCTACAGGAAAAGACGGGCACCTATTTTCATTTGAAAATTTTGATTCATGGAACCTTTAAACCTTTAAAACTAATCTCAGGGCCGGCGTGGTGGCTCACGCCTTAATCCCAGCACTTTGGGAAGCCGAGGCCGGCGGATCACAAGGTCAGGAGATTGAGACCATCCTGGCTAACACGGGGAAACCCCGTCTCTACTAAAAATACAAAAAATTAGCTGGGTGTGGTGGCGGGCGCCTGTAGTCCCAGCTACTCGGGAGGCTGAGGCAGGAGAATAGTGTGAACCCTGGAGGCGGAGCTTGCAGTGAGCCGAGATTGCCTCACTGCACTCCAGCCTGGGAGACAGAGTGAGACTCCATCTCACAACCAACCAACCAACCAACCAACCAACCAACCAACCAACAAACAAGCAAACAAACCTAATCTCAGATAAATTTTTGGTGCCCATGCGGCTATAGTTGTTCACTGCTTTTCTGGATGGATGGGACTCTGATGTTGTAACTTCTGACCTCCTTTGGCCCTTAGCTAAGGCCATCCTTCCCCATAGGGGTGGCTTTGGGATTGGATGCTACAGCTTTCGCGTCCGTGTAGTACACCTGTACATACCTGTTTCAAGCAGCCTTTCTTTAATGTTTTTGGTTGGTTTTATTCTGTAGCTCAGTAGCCGGTAATAAAATTAAAGATCCTGAAAAAAATTTTTTTTTCCCTGACTACAAAGACCCAGAGGAGATGGTAGTTGTATTTTTTTTTTTTAATTAAGAAATAGAGAGGGGGTTGCCTAGGCTGGTCTTGAACTTCAGACCTTAAGCAGTCCTTCTACCTTAACCTCCCAAGAGTCTGGGATCACAGGCATGAGCCACTGCACCCTGCAGATAGCTCTGTTTTTAATTCTTTAGGAACCTCCTTACTGTTTTCCATAATGCCTACACCAATTTATATTTGATTATTGGGTTGTTTCTTCAGGACTCACTCTCTCCTGAGGCCCTAGGGGACTCTTAAGGAAGTGTGGTTAAAACATAATATCAGGAGAAAGCAGTTCTGGAATGGTGGAATAAACACTTCTGAAAATCTGCTCTTCTGTAACAGCAGCAAGAACATCGGCAAAAGTTGTCAATATCAAGTTTTTCAGAACTCTAGAAATTAACCAAAGGCTTACAGCAATCTGAAGAGTTTTTTCAAGAAAAGCGTTGGCTTTTATAAGAACGGTGAGCTTTGTGGTGTTTTAACTTGTCCTATTTCCACCCCTTCTTCCTAGCTCTATGGTGGCCTTGAAACCAGCAGCCTTGGAACCATAGTCACTGAAAACCAGAGGCCTAGCAGCCATTGGACGTGGTAGAGTGGGTTTCAAGATCCCCAAAGACCCGGTTGCCAGAGAATTGTCACTATTCGACCTGTCTAGAAGATCCCTGGGAAAGCCTCATTCATAGGGCTTATCTTTATTTGGTCACTGAGGAAAGCCCTTTCCCCAGGGCACTGGTCAAATAATTAGTGGCAATTTACAAATTGCAGTTGCCTGAGATAGTGATACACACTGGGGCAAAATCAGGCTGGCCAAAATCTTACAGAGAAAATCTGGGGATGTTCATAGGGAACTTGCAAAGCTCTCACTTATTCCTGGGGGTCTAGAAGGCAACACACATGCGCAAGGTTGTGCACTTCTCACTTCTGGCTCACCTTAAAGCCCTGTGCAAGCAGCAAGTGAAGGCTAGGTCAGATTAATGAACTGCTGGAGTATTGAAGGCATCATGCACACACACACACACGCACACGCACACACATGCCCCTCAACAAAGGGTGGGAGATTTAATGGTCAAAGGCATTTAAGGAAATCTCTGTTTCAGCAGTAGCTGACTGCTAAGCTAACCAAGCTGACACACGTGACAAAGAATACAAAATTTACAGACTTAGTCCAGGAAAGTCACTAAACAAACACACACACGAGAGCAGCAATAGCAGCAGCAGCAGCAGCCACAACAAACAGCAACAACAAAAAGTCCTGAGGGAGTAGGAATCTGCTTTCTGAAGTTGCCACAGTGTATTACTTAAAATACTGTGGTTCCCTACAAAGAACTCAAACAAATTTACAAGGAAAAAACAAACAACCCCATCAAAAAGTGGGCAAAAGATATGAACAGACACTTCTCAAAAGAAGACACTTATGCAGCCAACAGACACATGAAAAAATGCTCATCATCACTCGACATCAGAGAAATGCAAATCAAAACCACAATGAGATACCATCTCACACCAGTTAGAATGGCGATCATTAAAATGTCAGGGAACAACAGGTGCTGGAGAGGATGTGGAGAAATAGGAACACTTTTACACTGTTGGTGGGACTGTAAACTAGTTCAACCATTGTGGAAGACAGTGTGGCGATTCCTCAAGGATCTAGAACTAGAAATACCATTTGACCCAGCCATCCCATTACTGGGTATATACCCAAAGAATTATAAATCATGCTGCTATAAAGACACATGCACACGTATGTTTATTGCGGCACTATTCACAACAGGAAAGACTTGGAACCAACCCAAATCCCCATCAATGATAGACTGGATTAAGAAAATGTGGCACATATACACCATGGAATACTATGCAGCCATAAAAAAGGATGAGTTCATGTCCTTTGTAGGGACATGGATGCAGCTGGAAACCATCATTCTCAGCAAACTATCACAAGAACAGAAAACCAAACACCACATGTTCTCACTCACAGGTGGGAATTGAACAATCAGATCACTTGGACATAGGAAGGGTAACATCACACACTGGGGCTGGTTGTGGGGTGGGGGAGGGGGGAGGGATAGCATTAGGAGATATACCTAATGTAAATGATAAGTTAATGGGTGCAGCACACCAACATGGCACATGTATACATAGTAACAAACCTACACATTGTGCACATGTACCCTAGAACATAAAGTAATAATAAAAAAAAATTGTGGTTCCTGTGAAAGATGCCAGTGGCAACAGCTTTGCCATCCAGCTGTCCAACATTTTTGTTACTGGCAAAGGCAACAAACCATAGATTTCTCTTCCCTAAGGAAAATGTATCCACCTCACCATTGTCAAAGAGAGGGACAAGAGACTGATTGATGGTCAAACAGAGCAGTGGGTAAAATGGTCTCTAGGTGACATGTTGGAAAGGTCTTTGCATTTAGTCAAAGATAATACAGTATGATTAGAAAATAAAATGTTGGCCAGGAGCGGTGGCTCACACCTGTAATCCCAGCACTTTGGGAGGCCGAGGTGGGCGGATCACCTGAGGTCAGGAGTTTGAGACCAGCCTGCCAACATGGCAAAACCCTGTCTCTACTAAAAATACAAAAAAATCAGCTGAGCATGGTGGCATGTGCCTGTAATCCCAGCTACTTGGGAGGCTGAGGCAAGAGAATCACTTGAGCCTGGGAGGTAGAGGCTGCAGTGAGCCGAGATCATGCCACTGCACTCCAGCCTGGGTGACAGAGTGGGACTCTGTCTCAATTAAAAAAAAAAAAAAAAAAAGAAAGAAAGCAATCAATGGGCTTGTTTCTCTGAGAACTCTGAGAAAGCTCAGATGTTGGACTTATTAGAAGACAATATTTCCTTATAATCCTCTCTATTTCTGTAAGAGCAGTAATGATGTCCCCTCTTTCATTCCTGATTTAATTGGACTCTTTCTCTTTTTTTTTCTTAGTCAGTCTAGTTAAGAGTTTGTCAACTTTGCTAATCTTTTCAAAGAATGAACTTTTCATTTTGTTGAATTTTTCTCTATTGTTTTTCTATTTTCGATCTCTCTCCTTCCTTCCTTCCTTTCTTCCTCTTTCTCTTTCTCTTTCTTTCTTTCTTTCTCTCTCTCTCTCTCTCTTTCTTTCTTCTTTCTTTCTTTCTTTCTTTCTTTCTTTCGTCTCTCTCTCTTGCCTTTTTTTTTTTTTTTTTTTTGAGACAGCCTCACTCCATCACCCAGGCTGGAGTGCAGTGGTGCAGTCTTGGCTCATTGCAACCTCCACCTCCTGTATTCAAGCGATCCTCTCACCTCAGCCCCACAAGTAGCTGGGACTACAGGTGTGTACCACCATGCCCTGCTAATTTTTGT